TTAGTTTGTGTTGATTTAGTTTAAGATGGGAAAAAAGCATGCAAAGCGTCAAAGATCAAGAAGTTCTACGACTGTTTCCACACAAATCCAAAACGTAAGTAAAAATTTGAGAAATTATACGCCGACTAGAGAGAGAAACGAAACTCTGGCTACTCCCAATCGTCCCTTAGATAACGTTATAGTTGCTATACATAATACACCCAAGTCCTTTGTGACTACAAGCACAAACTCTCGAAGTGACTCTACTTCAAGGCACCCAACAAATAGTGCTGAAGACGTCAACGTTACGCGCGGCACTCACTTAATTTAATTAATTTTGATCGAATAGAATCCGCTCCGGACGTTAACGTACCGCCAAGCGGTGGTTCTATTATATTCTTGCGCCTATGGAAAGTGAGTCACAAACGAGAATAAGACAGTTAGAAGACCTTGTGAACCAATTATTACAAAAAGACATCAAACGAAATACTGCAAGGGTTTCTATCAGATCAGATTGCATACCAGAAATTGATTCGGCGAATCAAGGTGAAAATTGTGGGAAATGGCTTGATAAAATCGATCAACCAGCCGAAATAAATCATTGGGATGAAAAACTACAGTCTATCATATGCAATCACGTTTATCTGGGCTAGCCAAAATCTGGATAGCTATAAATATACCCGGAATGAATGAAAGAATCTTTTGATACAAGCATTTCCTGACCATCAGGATTTTCCTTAAGCACCCAAAAACTTATTTGCCGCTATAAAAGACCTGACGAATCTTGGACAAATTATTATTTTGACAAGATGCAGTTTTTGCGTCAGTCGTCAGTGTGATATAAGAGGCAAAAATGCTATTGTCATGCTTATAGATGGCATTCAAGACAATGCGATACAATCTGGAGCAAGAGTTGGTAGGTATGGAACACCTGAAGATCTATAAAAAGATTTCCTGGCTACCTTGACTTGTACAGTTCAACGTGAACGTACAAGACCTGAGTCTACAAAAAGGTACGATAGACAGCAAGAAAATGCAAAGGCAGACTAGAAGCGTAATCTGAGATTAAGAAAGTGTTTTAAAGGTAAAGAATTTGGACATAAACACTTTGACTGTCCAAAACCACGACTAGAATGTACTGTATGCAAGAACTTGGGCACTCGGCGACTAACTGTTTCAGAAATAAGCCGTCTACATCAACACGCAAAACCATAATATGCAATGTTAGTTCAACTTCCAAGAGCAATGGTTATTACGTAACCTGTTCAATAAATGGCTGTGATAAAGAAGGATTTGTAGATTCAGGAAGCAGTTACCATGCAGGACAGGGAAGCCCGAAAAGTCGGTTTAACCTGGTCTGAGTGTGACATATGTTTAAAGGGTTATGGTGGCGGCGTATCCAAGGCTTTGGGTACGAGCAACGTGCACCTCAAAGTAGACCTATTTGAAGCGGAAGTTCTCGTTCTTATTGTTCCAGACAGACTACAAACTATGGCTGTACTAATTGGATGATTGGTATTGGATAAACATAACACAGTGACAGTTTTACTGCTCGAATCTTCAACTCGGAATTGATCGAGTTAACGCAGCTTGACATTTTGCCTCCCAAGAATATTACACTTCTAGCAGAAATGGACAGTGAAATAGCCCCAAATCATATTGGACTGATCAGTTGTGTTTCTAAGTGCGCGTTCACATTGACACCGCTCGAGCGGTGAGCGTTGCGCGATGCCGCTGTATTGATGCCCGAAAATAATTTTAATATTATATTTCAAATGAACAAGTTCACACTGGGGCGGCATGTCGCGCGGTCTTAACATGTTCATTTGAAATTTAATGTTAAAATTATTTTTGGGCATCGCTACAGCGGCATCGCGCAACGCTCACCGCTCGAGCGGTGTCAATGTGAACGCGCACTAAGCATACTGATTATGCTGGCGATATATTTTTGAATTTGAGATATTCATACGAGCCTATGAGAGAAAACATTCTTCCACGCCTAGCGCAAAAATTCTAGTTTTGAATATTTCTAACAACACGATTCGGTTTGGAAAAGGACAGGTGGTAGCACGAGGTTGCCCCTGCGCTCTTGATGACGATCTACAGGTATGTGTTGATAAAATTGTTCTTGCAAATTTGTCGAAGTTTACGTTGGCAGACTTGCAGGATCGAGTTGATAGGGATATAGATAAAGTATTAAAACTATTATCATTAATAAATAAATATCGTGATTGTTTCGCCCAGAACGTTCACGAATTAGGTAATATCAAAGATTCTCAAATGTCTGTTCATCTTACAGACGATAAACCTATATCGTACAGGCCTTATCGCCTCTCGTATAACGAACAAGAAAACGTACGACAAATTGTTAGTTCCCTGTTATCAGCTGATAATTAAAGAGTCAAATACTTCATCCGCAATACCGATAGTGCTTGTTGGGAAGAAAACCGACGAAACAAGACTATGTGTGGATTACAAAAAATTTAACTCAAAAACTGTAAGAGATTCGTACTCCTTACCACGAGTAGATCATCATTTAGAAATGTTGAAAAACTGCAATTATTTCACTATACTTGATATGGCTAGTGGATATCATCAGATACCCATGGCAGAGGATTCGAGACATAAAACAGCATTCGTAATCGTAACACCAGACGGGTAGTATGAATACCTTAGAATGCCTTTTGGGTTGGTCAATACACCCGCAGTTTTTCAAAGAACTATAAATACGATCTTGGGATCCATGACGTTCTCCACAGCATTAGTTTACATGGACAATATACTGGTACACACACAAATTTTGTGACGGTACTTATAGCTCTGGGCAACGTACTGGAAACCTCCAGAAAGGCAGGAGCTATGCTTCAGCTGACAAAGTGTCAGTTTTTCCAGACAAAAATTGACTACCTTGGTCACGAAATCAGTGCTACAGGTATACAGCCTGGAAAAGCAAACACCAAGGCAGTTAAAGAATTTCCGGCACCCAAAAACGTGCACCAAGTCCGACAATTTATTGGCCTATGTAGTTAATTTTGTAAATATATCAAAGGTTTTGCTCAAATTGCTCGACCGCTGACATATCTGACCAAAAAGGACACTATTTACGAATGGGGTAGAACTCAATCTGAAGCGTTTGGGGAACTAAAAAATAGAATGATTCAGAGGCCAGTTTTGATCTTAAACTAGCAACAGAAGTGCACACAGATGCTTCTAAATTCGGCCAAGTGACTCAAGCCTGTCTTATATTTTAGTCGTCAAACAACAAAAGAAGAGCAAATATATCATTCATTTGAACTAGTCGTTAACTCATTACAACGTTTAGAGTTTATCTAATTGGATTCAAATTTAAGGTGGTTGCAGATTGCAATGCTCTAAGAACTGCAATGACGAAACGTGACCTTATCCCTAGGATTGGAAGATGGTGGCTAGTTACACGGAAATTTGATTTTTTCTCTAGAATATCGTCCTGGGACCAGATGAGTCATGTCGATGCGTTGAGTCGTAGCCCTGTAGAGAACAAGCCTGAAGCAAATAAATTAGATGTTCTTCAGGTAGACATCACTGATGAACGATGTAAATACTTGATGGAAGTTTTAACAAGGAAACCTATAGATAAAGAGGAAAAGCAGATCGACAAAGACGACGAAGAAACTAAAAATAATAAACTATATGGACGAACACTAGAAGGGTTAGGTACGTATGTTGGCAGCATGGCCGACTGTAGAGCCACCTTTAGGTTGTACTCAAAAGAAAAACAAGATTGTGACTGGTGGAAACATCATTAATCAGTATTGATATACACACGGAGAAAAAGGAAATAAGGGTGACGGATGGTCGTCCATTTTGGGATATATTTTTTTTACAAGAGTTTAATCATTTTATGAAAGAAATACGAGATTCATATAAAAACTGTAGTGTCTATTATAAAATTAACACTGGGTATTCATAGTAAAGTCGGTTCCCCAAATTCAGATCAATGCAAATGTTCTTCTTCGCTTCATTTCTGAGAGACCCAGTAACTATCTGAGTTCTTCAAGTTCTATAATTTTTTTTCTTAGGTCATGGATTTTATAATATAGGCCTGCTATGTAAAGTTTGTTGGTTTCGATCGTTTGCCTCCCCCAGAATTCTTGAGACTAATTAGAAATTTTTAATAAATCGATTGGTGAAGGTGAAATTTGGATAACATCAAATTGAAAACAGAGATTTCTATCACCTTTGCAAGCAATATTGATGAGTGCATTATAAAAATAACAGAAAGAATGCAGCGATAAGGCTCATCACAGAAGAGTTTTCTGAAGCTTGAAGTATTTCGACTCTGATACCATACCATTCCCTAAAGTGCAAAACACCAACAGTTGCGTTGAGTTTGGACCAATAAAGAGCGTTCTCATCTATGAAAAGCTACTAAAACTCACTGTTAGGCCCAAACTACAAGATTTTTGTGACTGAAACAACATCTTGGTGAGAATCAATCATGAGAGGCATTCTTGTGAGTCTAAAATTGTGAACATTCAAATATGTATTGGCTGGATTTTTTCAATTTAAGAGAGCCTTTAAAATGGTGACTAAGGATATTATGGTCTGCATTTTAAACATTAAAAAAAAAATTGGTATTCCTGCTACAAAAAAAAACTGTACCTACTACTATACACTAAAGAAGAATTCATTTGGGCAATTCAAAATTATTTGTAGTTCAGAATTTGAAGCTGGATATGAATTGCCTAAAATAAAAAATCAGGTATCGTCGGTAAAATTTTGCATTTCCCATCTTTTTAATTCAGATTTCATGTCATTTACAAATAATATTAAAAGCAGAGGACCTGAATACTACCTTGTGGTAGACCAACGTCGTCAATGTTTGCAGATTTTGAAAAAACCTAATAATAATTAAATAATTATTTATTCATTTATGTAATTATTAATTTTTCCCCATCAACTAGTTTCAAATGCTCTTTTTAAATCTAGAAATTGGTACATCAGAATGATATTCTTACACAATCCTGTTATTTGAAACTTACCACATGTGTTAAAACAACGGAAGATTCTGCCCTTAAATTTAGGCCACTTTCCTTATTCGGCCGAAAAGGTCGGTGCCGATTGGGGTTCAAAATAAATCCATCAGAAATTGCAATTATAAGTACAACAGCAACTAAACCCCCGAAACTCAACATGATTGAAAAACCGAACGCAACAAATAAACTGAAAAATATGCAAACGGTTAGACATTTTATACGCGACCATAGATAATTATTGACAAGTTTGTATGAATAATTGGTTTAAGGCATTTATTATCTGTCTTTTTTTTGTATTTTTCGTATGTACATAATATTACTAGACATGATAAAGATCATTTTCCTTCTCTAAAAAATAACGAAATTGTACCCAATAAACCGTTTTTCGTTGTGCTTAGCTGCGTTGTTTATAAGCTATCGTTTGTCGGAGATCTCGTGCACGGTGGATTTAGGTGGTAATTTTGTTTTATTACTGATTCAGTTCGGTTTGGTACTTGATTATTGAATAGCGAAAATTATACGTTATTCATTAAAACTGGTATATTAAGCTTGATTTCAATTATTGTACATTGATTAAACTTATGTGAGTTTTCAAACTGACTTCTTGAAATGTTTTATCACTATATTATATTTGCCTAGTTTGTAGAATTTCTAGAAGTAGGTAGGTAATTATTTTCCAGAAAACTCAAAACCTATAAAGTAAGCAATCTAAAAATTTTGCCTGCATTCGATGAATAATACTAAAATGCAGTTCATACATTGCAACAAGAAATCTAAATGGTATTAATTTTGACAGATAATTAAGCAAATAGTTTCTTGTAACATTGTTGAGATTAATATTAAGACAAAGATGAATACTAGTAATTATTCTAACGTTGAACTACGTGACGTTCATTGTTATTATGCTTTGGCTGGCGGCAAGCATTTCCAAATAAGCATATCGCAATCGTGAATATTTAGTATCATCCATCAAAGTCTTGGAAAATTTGGATTATTTTAAACCCGGATGGTAATCCTGAATCAATTCTGAATTCCATCGAGAATAATAAGTTATTGAGTCGGAGGAAGTGTTGTCAAAAGCTTCCTCTATGTCCAAAAAAGAACCCTGCATATCCAAATTCTACCTATTTGGTCCAAAAAAAACATCGGTTTCCACAAAATATAAAAATCCATTTTGCAAGTAGTTGAATCTCAATGCTTTTTATCAGTTTTAAATTTTCTTAAAAATATACAGGGTGTTTGGTACATCGATAGGAATATGTCAATGAGTGATAGTTGGGGTCATTTGGAAGCTGTTTGACCATGTTTGCCCTCATTCAAAGTTTCGCTGTTTTTTGAGGTATCGCCATTTTTAGATATTTTGAATCCATGTATTTTAGCACATAACTTTGGGCTACATATTTTTTGTATCAGTCATTTGAGTTTTCTTTCCGTATTTTTCGAAAGAGTGCATATTAGGAATATCGGAAAAAAAAATGAGAAAAATCAAAGTGTTTACTATCATAGATAGATAGATAGATTAATATTGGGGTGTTGTTGCACTGCGATCTAAAGATCTATTGTGCCCCCTGCTGAGGCCGATTTGATGTGGATCTCAAATCATAGTACTTCGTCCAGTTCTATGGCCTTGACGAAGGCTAGTAACTGGTACGGTGGCAAGGATGGTATGTCTCCTTCTAAAACTACATAGTCACCGAGATGTGTAGCCCGGCTTCTAGCGACGACTTCGCATACGGTTAGTGGGTGTTCTGGAGTTTCTTCCTCCTCCCCGCAAAACCTGCCTTCACTGGATCTCTCGAGTAGCATTTTCCTGCGATTTTCTCGAAGGTGGCAATGCCCTGTAAGAATTCTTAGTTTAATTTTACTTGAATTTACTAGAGCTTTAGATTTTTTGGGATTGAAGTTTTCAAGGAATATCTTAGAGTGTCTCAGTCCCGGAAGGTCGTCCCAGAGGCGAGCTCTTAGGTCGTCTTCCATTTTCTTAAGCTCCGCTGTATAAGTGTTTTTACCTATATTGCAAAAAGGCTCCGGTTCTACAAATGGGGAACCGGATCCTTTCTTTGCCAAGGTATTGGCTTCTTCGTTACCTTCCACTCCTGTGTGTCCAGGCACCCATAGTAAAGTGACTTTATTTTTCTTTCCTACCTCGTATAGTTTCCCTATAGGCAATCCCGTACTTCTTAGAACTGATGACATATGAACTCAGTGCCATTCTGGCCGATTGACTGTCGGTGAATATTGCAATATCTTGCTTGAGATAGTTCCTGTTCAGGATCATTTGAGCACATCTGTCAATGGCGTGTATTTCCATCTGAAAGACACTGGTGTATTTACCCAGTGACTCAAAATATTTGGTGCGAGGCCCAAATACTCCAGCTCCTGATCCTTTGTCGGTTCTCGAACAGTCTGTGTACCATTTATTGGTGTTTTCTTTGAGAGATTCGGTGATCTTGCCACTTTCCCAGTCGCTTTTATTATCAATCCTTGTGAGGAAGTTTCTCTCAAAGTGATATTCTTTGGTTATATCGTCTTTAGGAAGATCGAATAAGGGAATACACCGTGTCTGGGATGACCATGCACCTTAATCGATGATGTCCTTAGCCTATTTCTAGCTAGTCCAAACATAGCCCTTTCTGCAGCTCCCTTCGCCGACAAGTGCAAAGGTGTGAGGTCAAGTATGACGTTCAACGCTGCTGTTGGACATGTTTTCATGGCTCCTGTAATACATACACTTGCCAGTCTTTGCAATTTATCAAGTGCTCGCCTTGTAGTGTTTTGTTCTGCTATGCCATACCAAACTGCTGCCCCATATGTGATTATGGGTTTTAACATCATAATGTACATCCACCGCAGTATTTTTGGTGTACATCCCCAGTTTTTACCCGTCAAATTTCTGCACACCATAATGTCCTTAGTAGCTTTGTTAACAATAGCTTCTAGGTGAATTTTCCTTCTACGTGTAAATGGTACAATAGTGGTTTTTGCTCAGCCTTACCGATGTGCGCCATTTTTCAGTAGTACTTAGGTCTTTTTGTATGAGGTCGTATAGTGTGCCCTCAAACTTGCCTTTGGCAATAATGACAATATCATCGGCGTAACCTATACAAGTTAGACCCTGATTTGTCAGTCTGGACAGGAGTTCATCAACTACCAGGCTCCACAACAGGGGTGAGGTTACTCCCCCTTGAGGTGTACCACGAGTGGTTCTGATGCTTGTGGTTTGTTCACCCACAGTTGTCTCAGCTGTTCTCGTAGTCAGCATTTCACAGACCCACCGGACTATGGTTTTATTCACTCCTCTCCTCTCCAGAGCAATTTTTACCGCCCCATGGGACCTGTTATCAAAAGCCCCGGATATATCCAGGAAGGCACATATGGCTGTTTCTTTTTCCTTAAGGGTTTTTTGGATGATTTCTGTTAAGTTGATAGAGCGCTGTCTCTGTCGATCTGCCTGCTCTGTATGCATGTTGGCACGAGTGTAGAGGTGCCTTCTCCAAAATTTCCTTTCTGATGTAGTTATCTACAGCTTTGTCTTTAGTACAAAGGACGTAAGACTAATAGGTCGAAAAGATTTAGGGTTTGTCCCATCCTTTTTTCCTATTTTGGGAATGAAGGTTACTTTAGCTCGTCGCCAGATACTCGGTATATATCCCGAAGCTAAACTAGCCCTAGCTATTCTAAGTAGGTGAGGGAATATTTCCTTTTGCCCTTTTTGTAAAAGGGCAGAAAATATTCCGTTCACTCCTGGTGACTTAAACGGTTGAAAGGTACTTATTGCCCATTTCATCCGTTCCACAGTAAAAACCCTCTTTGCAGCTTCCCAGTCCTCCTTCTTCGGTTTACTGGTGTCGACTACCGTGGTTATTTCTACTGGTACGCTACCTGGAAAGTGCATTTGAAGTAATAGGCCTGCTCCTCTTTCGTGTAGGTGCCGTACGGCTTTTTGAGGGCCATCACTGGATTTGTTCCTCCTTTGGCCATGGCCTTATGTAGCCTTGCAGCCGTTGGAGGACTGGAGCAATTTCCTCACAAAAGGTTCTGTTGCCTTTTGGCTTTTCTTATCTCTGCCAATTTCAGTCACTTTTTGCTGTATTGAAAAGATGACGGACTTGAAATCTCAGTTTTGACAGGTGGCTGTTCCACCATGGTGCATCTTTTTTGGATCTCGCTGTAGTCACTGGGCAACTGGATTCAAAGGCTTCCATAATTGCTTTTGTAACTTCCTTAGTGTCCTGCTCCAGTTCCATGTGGTGTCTTTTCCCACCTGAACTTAAGCAGTGAAGGTTGTTCTGTAAATTGGTTTTGTAGGCTTCCCAATTGGTTTTTCTCGGAACCCTTCGTATGGGTCTATTGTATTTTACATTCTCTAGGTTCAACTCAATTATCCTGTGATCTGACAGGGATGGTTCGGTTGATACTCTCCAGTTTTTGATGAGGTCTCTAATACTGGAGCTGACCAAAGTTATATCTAATACTTCCGACCTTGTTCTAATCACGAATGTAGGCATAGTACCAACATTCAAGACCTCAAGGTCGGTAGTTATAAGAAATTCAAGCAAACACTCACCTCTATAGTTGATATCCGTGCTTCCCCAGATAACATGATGTGCATTTGCGTCGCAGCCTAAGAGTAGTGGCAGGCGCTCTCTTCTGCAATATTGGATCAGCTCTTGTACCCCGGCGGTGGTGTCGTTAGCCCATCTCCAGGAAAGTATGCTGAAGCAATTATTATGTTGCGGTTGCAGCCCCCAATGTCGAGTTGTACGACAATGGGTGTCAAGTCCCGTGACATAAATTCTGTAACACACATATAATTAATGTAATTTCTTATGAGAATACAGGCTCTGGGTGATTCCTGCCTGTTATCGTATACTACCTTTGAAAGTTTGCTTGACAAACCTTTGATTTGCCCTCTATTGATCCAGGGTTCTTGGATCATAACTAGTCCCAGATCTTGGTTAGCGAACATTCGTACAATCACATCGGAGGATGCCCGTTTGTGTTGCAGATTGATTTGCGCTAATCTGGTGAATGTTCTAGTAATGGGAGGAGGGGCACGTGGTCTGTTTGGACTATCCTGTCCTCCCCTCTGCTGTTCCTTACTCTGATCCGCCAGAAGCTTCTATTCATGTTCCTTGCTGATGACCTCATCCTCAGAAGAAGAGTTGAGTTTAAGAGATTCGAGGCTTAAGCCCTCGATCTCTCGCCGCTCGTTTCCCTTTGATGCAGTCTCATCGGTGAGGGTGTTCTCCAACAGAGAAGAGGTGGTCGAGGCTGTTGGTTCAAAGTCCATTTTCTCTTCCTCCGCTTCTTCTCGCTTCTTAAGGCCAGATACTTGCCCAAACCTGTAGTGGATGGAGTGTCCCTTGGCCTTGATAGCTTCCTTACTTCTGGTAT